TGAAATCGCGTCATCATAGTTGTATCAGTGAATGAAGTAGCTGTAATTGTTTAACGAACAGATTCCTGTTCGTTTACTAACCTCGGTATGACAGCTGTGGTTAGTTAATTACACTGTATTTTAATATCGATAAAGACAGTGATATTCCATTCGCGACCAAATCCTTTGCATAAATTTGAACACTTCATTTAGGTGAGTTGACAAATACTTATTTACTTACGTCTGTAACATAGGCCAACCACAAGCACTCTTTATCCAACTATGTCATAGGCAATCCTTTCCAATCCTTTTCAGTTGTTACTCATCCTTTTGACATACGCTTCCATTTCCCCAAGTAATGTGTTATTTAGCCTTCCGCCTTTTCATTCTCCTTCAGGATTCCAAATTAGCGCTTGTCACGTGGAACAGTTTGGTGATTTCTGTATTGTATATCCTGTCACTCTCCAGCATATTTTCCCAATTTTCGCTTCAGCTGGAAGCCGGTTTGTCCTCTCTCACAGTAGGTTATTGCTAATGGTATCCAATCAATGGATACTCAGTATCTTGCATAGATATTTGCTTATAAATACTTATGCCTTTTGATGATGGTCGAGGTAGTTTGCCACGTTTCAGCTGCGTACAATAGAACTGTCTTGACGTTTGTATTGAAGATCCTGACGTTGATATTAGTTGACGGTCGTTTTGAGTTCTATATGTTCTTTAAGTGTAGAAATTCTGTCCTTCATTTGCTAATCTTCGCTTTTACGTCTGCATCAGATCCTCTTTGTTGCTTCCATCCCTCTAACAGGTAAGAATAATTGATGCACCAAATTAGCAATCAAGTTAGCAATTAAATTGAACTATGATTTTTCCAGTCCGTCTTTTAGTATGCTGAACAACATCCATTCTGAAATATTTAAATCTCAACAATTAGCCATAGTTAATATTGACTTATTGGTGTTTTATACTTTGATTTTCATAGTTATTCCAATTCATGCCATTGTTTCCTTTTATGAGTTTACATAAGGCCAGACCAAACACAGATGCAGAATAATATGGATTCATCATATTTCGTGGTTTCTCGTCAGCTACAGGCATTTTGTAATGTCTAATAAGTGGTAGTCTAGCCATTCGACCGTACTAATTCTGGTCAGTGTGATAGTTACTCTCGGGTTCCATGTCCTGTTATCTGAGTAAGTGTGTTTTTCTCAAGACACTAAAGCTTCTGAAACCAGCGACTATCATACTATCGGGCAGGAACCTATCAACTGAAGTGCTGTGATCACTTTTACTGCAAGAGCGTTCAAAATAGACATGACTATTAATGACAAACATTGGGAGGGTATAAGGTTTCTTCTCCCTGATATGTAAGTGACGTGGCGCAGTTAGTCTCTTATTTGCGATTATTCTTCTATAGCTCCGCAATCTTGATCCTATGTTTCGGAGTCTCCCTGTTTAGGTCACTCCTAAATAGTAATTGGGCTGTTATAACTACATAATTCTGGCCGAGAAACAAAATAAATTTCATAAATAAGAATATATTTGATAGGCCTGGTGGAAGGAAGGAATTCACATAACAACCCTGATCGTGGGCAACTTCGCATGTTTGCAAAAAATAACCCCATGTTTGGTGATCATTTTCCACTACCAGGTTTCTATAGAAGATAAAAATAATAGAAATGAGGTTCGAAATTATTATGTCGATCTTCCATGTCTGAATGCTTCTATATTGTAACCAGAAGAGTGATGAAAACTGTTGATGTCCGTTCAAAAAAGGATCGTAAATAACTATGTCAAGACTCAAAACCTGCGGAACAAACAGGGAGATCTGAGGTGGGCTCTACCATAATCCTTAATCTCCTTAGGATCAGTGTATTAGAACATTTTAAACCACGGCAACGAGGGGCATCTCAATATATCAAGTCGTTGTATTATACCCGAAAGGCTATAGTGCTTGTATGAATTCAGGAGTATTCATAATGTCTTAGCAAACTGGTGCCAACCACTTCTTCAGCCAGATAAAGGTATGTGTTAAAAGATACCCGCAAAAAGACACCCAACGTAAAAAATCAACATGGACGGAAACTCAAGTAATTACATAACTGTGAAACTCTTCACAAGCACACTGGCGTTTAACTTCCCCTCTGCAATATACGTCAGTTCGGAGAATTACCAGCGGTCGCTATAAGCGATTTAAATCTGCTACATTACAAAAGGCAATACAGGAGGATGATCATGCAGTTACTGACTCAAAACGAGCTTCCTTATTCAAGCTCCTAGCAGTAACATCACTTCTGATCGACTCGTGAGTGACCATAGATTGAAACTAAGAGAAACTATCTGGTCCAACTACATAAGTCAGACGTCTAGACCAACTAATTCTTCTATTGATGCTAGAATGGAAATACAGCAGAATCCATTTAACTTCGTATCACTCTTTAAATAGATGCGAACTTCCTCCCAAACTCTGAAACATGACATACCCGCACAGCTACAGTCATCACCAGTACACTACTTTGAGAGCGCTGGGAAACCGCTCATATATTTATTGGCTTATTTATAAACAATGCAAGAGATGAGCACGTACAACAATATGCTATTAAAACCATTACTTTTATTTCTCTTTATTATATACTATTCCCATTGTCATCTGATTTAATACATTGTTTTTATTTTTGTTAGATTCATCCTTTCCTGCATCCTCAATCTCTTTTGCCATTTCCTCAAAGTAACTAATCAAAAAAACTTCAGAGGACTGTTATCTGCCAGTTGGAAGAACTGATGAAAAGGCAATTTAAGACGGCACTGAGACCGTTAGTTTTACTCTTCTCATTTTAAGTTCTCCTCCCTCTTTCCTTCGTCATTCTACTGGTGAATGTTGCCTTTCAACTGTTCAACCTCCTTTTCCTTCCTAGTCTTCTTCATTTGCCGAGTTCTCTAGATACAGGCATATCGTGGTCAGTAAAAGAAAACATGAGTGATGTGATGGCGCATTCAATCAACCCCTTAGTCACATGCTTCTCAAATACATCGACCTTCGAATACAATCCCTATCTCAATACAAAGTCTTAAGATCAGTTGCTCACTATGAACTTTCGTCGATAGGACGTACTATAGGCCCTTAGCACTCCAGACATTGAAAAATCAACGAAACCGGGTGAACTAGAACAGAAAATCTCGTAGCAAATTGCACAGTATATTACTGTCCCACTGATTACGATATTCAATATGTTACTTGGCCAAGGTGAATTACCTGTGTACTGAAAGGATGAGATTATTACCCAACTCATAAAACAGGGCCAAAGCAATTTTCATCAAACTGCAGGTCTACCAGCCTCACCAGTGTCGTAGTTAAAATACTGAAAAGTATGATCAAAAAGGCTATTATAGCAATCGCCGGTACCAACAAATTGTTAAACAACGAACAACATGTTTTCACGGTAGGATTATATTGCACAATAAACCTTCTAAATGTTGTGATCAGCTGGTTTTAAAAATGCTGCTGCTTATTACCCGACTAAGTTTGTTTGCATGCACAATGGGGATACCAATATAAATAGGTACAGTATAGGGGAAGAGTCAGTGCCTGTAGTCCGACCTCACAAGGATCTTGGGGTGCGATATGATCTCAAGACCACGACTCATTGCCACATGGCTGCGGTTGGGGGTTTAGAACCCAATGAGTTTAAAGACGGATATTTCCAAGTTAGATATTACTATATCCACTACAGTATGCACGAATCTGATGAATATCCGGACGTGGAAACTTCGTTCGGACTAATGAAGTCTGTTTAGAAGATGATTTGAATATCTGAAAAAAGTACAGAGACAACTGTCCACGCGATTCCGGAGCTCCAGAGTCACACAAATAGCAGGTTGAGAAGCCAGGCATTTTGATTTGTCACACATCAGACTAAGGAGTGGTCTGATACTGATGTATAGAATACTTAGGAATGACTTTGAACATAATATATCGTCTCTTTATCCCTCCAATAGATCTAGGCGACCCAGTGAGTGCATCAAGCGAGTACAGAATCCAAGAACGGACGAAATATGCGTGACATGAACATTTAACATTAAGTAATCGACTCTTGGAACTTTTTTATCGGGGCGGTCTATTTCAATAAAACGGTACTCCGCGTAACTCTGCGGTCTTCGCTTCGGAAACCGCAACTTGTTTTAAATACAGTTTTATTACACTAACTTTTTTCTAAAATTAAACCCTGTGGCACAATATCAATCAAGCAATAGTCAATTTTAGTCAAAGTGTATTATTTCACCATTTAGGGATATTCACATAGGTTTTTACACCTTAAAATACTCTTCCTCGGTTATTTAACTTCCTATTGTTATGATATCATCGTTTGCGCAAACGGTACCATAGAAAGATAATAAAGTGGGATGGCTAAATAGAAATTCGGAGTCAATGGTCATGTTGCCGGGATACGATTAGTTGCTATCTTAGATCACTATGCCACTTGTCCTTGAATTCATGTATATTGACGCTGATTTTAGGTTTGTCCGTATAGGCGAAATACTTGTACCTGTACACTAATAGTTCAGTGACTTTCATCCATCCACTAGTCAGAGTTTATGTCACTCTGGTAGGCTGATATATGTAGTTGTCACTAACAATTCAACAATCTATAGCACCTCTGCTACAATTAGGTTTACTTAAGGTTAATCTCGCCAAGCCCTTTAACTAACATACTTAGCAAACGGTGTTGTTCGAACAGTGGCAATCTCTATTTCTCCGTCATTATTGTTACTATTTTGTCTGTATGACCATATGTGTTGGGCCATATGTTACAGCCTACTCATATATTCCTCACTCTACCTCAAATGTTAGTCGCTTAAATACCGCTCGATAAATCATTCGCTTTCCCATATATATATATATATATATATATATATATATATATATATATATATATATATATATATATATATATATATATATATATATATATATATATATATGATCGAATCTTCCAATTGGTTTACTTCGTTCCTATTTGACTCATAATCCACCTCTGTGTTCACTTACTCGCATGCATTAGCCTCTGCCGAAATTCGCTTGATGCGTTTGTAACTTTGTTGTCCCTGCTGCCCAATAATAAACTGCGGTCGATGCTTCGTATCGCCTTCTGAGTTCTTACTTCGTTGGGATTTAATCAATAACGGTTATCAGGGTAATTAATAAGTGAGTCCTTAGGAATTATCTCATAACGTTAGACGTTAGACGACTCTCTGTGTTCGATCATCGCTGTCTCCGAAGGATTGCTGACATTCAATGGCAACACCATGTCAGTAATTCAGAGGTTCGGCATCGTGTGTTCGGGCACAGAGATGATAATTCAATTGGTGTCACCATCTTGAAACACCGACTTCGGTGGCTTGGACATGTTCTACGAATGTCGTCCCAGAGAATTCCACGTCGTGCATTATTTGCCGACTCTGGGACTGGTTGGAAGAAGCGGAGAGGTGGTCAGTGCATGACATGGTGTCGTTGCATGAAAGAAACCTGCAAAGGACTGGCGTGTGTTGGTTCTTCACGACTCCCTGGTTGGGGTCTGAGAGATGGTGCTACACAGTGGCTAGAGACGTCATCAGATATGGCTCAGAATAGAAGCCAGTGGCGATCCTGCTGTAACCTTCTTTTACTTTCTTCATAAAAAGTGGTTCTGTCTCCCTTACCTGAAAGATTTCTTCCGATTGTACCTTTGCGTTCCCTGATTACTAGCACATTACCTTACACCAATCTCTTCGTTATTGTTCTCTCTTTTTTTTGTTGTTGCGCTCCTTAGCTTTTTTTTCTTTCTTTGTATTCCTCTCGAATTTTCGTTGTTTTGTGTGGCGCATATATATTGGCGCTCTCTTGTACCAATATTCATGTGTCCAAATAAATAAATAAATAATCTCATAACCAAGTCGCTTCAAATTACCAACTATGTAGGTTTTAGTGGCTAGAGAAAACCTGAAGTTCATCGAATCTAAAAACGAAGATATGGTAATCTGAATAGTTTTTGTTTACTTTTCAACTTTTATAATTTAATAAGCTTAACATTCTTTGTTAATGTGGGATTTAATATACTTCCTGAGATATGAATTGTGGATAACACTGTCGTATCCTCAAAGTTACAGTACCATTAAGATTTTTCTACTTTGAATCAAACGGAATTCGTTTGTCTCTGTCAGTTCCCTGCAAAATACTTTTGTCACAGTTGAAGGTAGTTACATGATTATGGGAAATTGTTATTTTCAAATAAATACATATATATGCCTAAAGGTTGACTGTCTTAATGCTTCAGTGTTGGTAATATTAACTTCACTATGGTCCTCTTCAGTTTCATTTTGCTCTTTCAGGATTCCCTATGCCGATGTCAACATGTCATGTCGGATCGGTAGTTACACCATTGGCTGTCTTAAATCGACTACCAGGCTGGCTCGGCACGTTGGTTATCAGCCCTGATGGATCAGTTCTGCAGTCAGCTGGTGAATTAGTGAATAACAAAGAATTGGCCCAACATTTTGCTGCGATCGCCAACAGAGTTGGTCGTTTATTAAATATGGAAGGTGAAAGAAAAACTCAACAATTCAAAAGATTAACTGGTGAGATATGCTTTTTTGTCTTGGCTGTTCACGTTGATATCTTTTATGGTTAAATCAAAGGATATCAAGTTAAAAGTTTCCCCTCCCATGTTTTCTTTAGTTCGGTAGTCTTGAATGAGATAGGATAAAAAATAGCTGCTGATTGGTATTATAAATCATACAATGACAGCAAATTAATGTTCTTTACCTCGCTGAGATGTAGTAGAAATGTTTTCGTAAGAATGAGCAACACCTGCGATGAAGTATTACTCCTAATGAAAGGATGAACTAAGAGTGGTTGACTTTAAAAATACTAATTTTACACTCGCGTTTTGAAGTCTGCTTAAAGGCTTTTGAAGTTCCAAACTCTGCCAGCCTGTTTCATATGTTAAGGGCTACTATCTTGAAGCAATTCTTCACCGGACTATGTTGGCAGGGGATCTAGTCGGGTCGACAAGCAATACTGAACCACTTCTCATATAAGTTTCGAAAGAGATAAATCCATCAACAGACTAATCTAATGGATTAAATACTGCTACGTAGAGTAATTAGTCGGTGTTTGGAATTTAGTCATAGTTCCTTATCCCTACTGGTTGCTAGTTATAGTTTTTTAGACAAACCAAGCTTTGGTAGTATTTGTTCCAGACAGTCGCTTGTAGTTCCACTTTAAATCAACCCAACAATATGAAATTATAAATATCGGAATTAAAAGGGCCGCAAATATAATGTCAGCAGTAGCAAAGAATCAACCTTAGGAAATGTGTTTCGAAAATTATAAATAAAACAAGCAATGAAGAATGCGTAGTAATATAGGGGAAGGTGACAAATCAATGTTTCTGTACCACTGCAACTGAATTAAGTTGTGTGACCTAGGGCCTCCAACTGAAGATCACTATTATCTCGCGGATCACAACCAGGAAATTTCCATTTCAACATGGAGCAATAAAACAATTGGTAACTTTATTGACTAACATCAACGCGGTCTGAGTCCTCATAGACTTTTCCCAATGTAATTATATCCTAGTTAATATTCCACATCTGGGTTCGACAGCCACTAGGCATGTGTAAGACATGTTTGGACCACCAAATTTGACGATGATTTTCGGTGCTACGAAGTCCCCTAGCCAAGGTACTTGATTATCATCCTTTGTCAATGTTGCATCTTGTGTTCTAAATGGTGTAATCATAAAGTCTTGACTTTCTAGAACGAGTATCCTAAAATGTGACTTGCAAAAGTTCCACCGAATATCTTCTAGTGACCCATCCCGATGAAGTATTATGCTTCTTATTGGTAGTTGTATTGTCTCTTCCTTCAGAAAGATCAACAAAATAAGGATACTGTCAGTAGCAGTCAGTCACATTCCCTGTCCCCAGGACAAATTACGACTATGAAGCGTAAAGGAATTCTCAAAGTTATATCTTTTCCAAATTTTGTGTCGATGCTGTTCTGTACTTGTGTATTCGTTTTGTTGTGGTGGGAGCTTCACATGGTATTGCTGCAAATAGCCTAAGGTGTCAACCTTCGAACAATTAATTATGTTATTAATAGTTTCTAATTTTTTCTATATCGTAGCAGTGATCAAAGATATGTCGCGTAATCCTTTTCGTAGTTCTGTTAGGTTTGTAGTTGTGTAATTATCAAAGATCAAATTTAGCTATAGATTGTAGGGCGTTTAAACATCTTAAATTAGCTTTCACTACGATAGGTAGTCCATTGTTCGGGGACCTGGATCAGTCAGTCAGTAACAACGTAGAACTTGGTACGTACGTACATCAGTTCGAGTTGCCACACCTCATTTACACAGAGATGCGGTGGTCGATTCAAATCCCGTAGTGCTAGATGTAGTAAAATTATAAGCTGTAATCAGAAAAATTAGGGTTTGAAGATGTTATTCAAGGAGTATAATCCTGTGAAATAAACTTGGAAAGAGAAAAACAGGGACACGAAGAATTCAGAAGATTAGAATTTGGGGAACACAGAGAGTGGATGCACCTGCGCCATTGCAAACGATTTTGAGCCATGTCATCCAGGGTCTCTAACCATCGGTTGCTATCATCTCACGGTCCCCAACCAGGTAGTCTACACCTACCAATATGACTCAGTCAACTTGTCAGTGACTTCATGGTCTTGTGCCATGTTTCGGTCTGGCCGCCCCTAACTTCCTTCCAATCTACTTCTATACAACAAAACATCGCACATCGAGGCAGTCGGTGGTTGGGCATACGTAACACATGTCCCAGCCATCTCAACTGATGAAGTTTTACTACGTCATCAATTGATTTGCCATCCTTACCTAATATCCGTTTCCTAACAACTGTGTTACTTACTCGATGGTTCCAGGATATACGAGCAATTTTTCGAAGACACCTATGATCAAATACTAGTAACCTCCGGATATCCTCTACTCTTACCGGCCATGTTTCACTGCCATAAAGTAGGACGGAACGAACTGCTGCGCAGTAAACACATCCTTTGGTTGGTAGACGGATATCTCGCCTACGCCATAAATGACGCAAGTTGGTAAAAGCTAGTCGAGCCTTCTGTATCCGTGCTGAGATTTCGTCACACACTAAACCACAAGGACTGATGAGACTTCCAAGATAAGTGAAGCGGTCGACACACTCAACTACTTCACTCCCTATCACTAGTTCGGGTGTCGATGTAACCCAATCATGAAGCAACATTTTGCATTTCGAGGGAGAGAATCGCATGCCGAACATGCTTGCATTGTTGCTTAGAATGGTCAGAAGACTCTGCATTTTGTCAGCGTCTTCACCAAATAAAACTACGTCATCAGCATATTCTAAGTCAACAAGTGAACCCCCTGGTAGAAGTTCAACCCCTGTAAATTTAGATGAGGAAAGTGTTATCTCTAAAAGTACGTCGACGAAAACGTTGAACAAGAATGGGGAGAGTGGACAGCCCTGACGAACACCACTTGAGGTGATCAATTCTGATGACAGTTCGCCATAAGCTCTCACTCTACCAGTTGTGTTCGAGTAGAGAGCCTTTATAAGGTTAATGTACTTCTTTGGTACTCCTTTCAGTGACAAACACTGCCATAGAACCTCACGATCAACAGAGTCGAATGCCGCTTCAAGGTCGAGAAATACTACCGTTGTGGGGGCGTCTGAATGTGTGTCTGTGTTCTAGAACCTGACGTAGTGTGAATATCTGATCTATACAACCACGTCCAGGTCGAAAACCAGCCTGGTTTTCTCTAGACTGTTCTTCACGAGCTTTGGTTAGGCGTTGGAGTATTATTGAAGCTAATATTTTAGACACTATATTTGTCAAACTGATTCCTCTGTGATTTTCACAAGAGGACTTTTGTCCTTTCTTATAGACTGGCACAATCAGTGATTGAGACCAGTCAGATGGGATTACGTCCAGTTCCCGAATTCTACCTAAGACCTCGGTTAATCTCACTGCTAATACTGTACCACCATCCTTAAAGATCTCAGGAGTTAACCTGTCAGGGCCTGCTGCTCTCCCTCGTTTCAGATTTCCTATGTCTTTTTCAACTTCGTAAAGGGACGGAGGACTTACATTAACTTGCCATTCAGGTTGACTGGAGATCGTGGGAAACCGAAGTGTGGCTGAAGGCCAGTTGAACTGATCCCTAAAGTGTTCTGCCAATCGATCCAATCTGGATTGAGAATGTATGATATGTCCATCTTTTTCTGCGATTGTTTCGCTAACGGTCGGGTTCCTGAATCCGGTTTCCTTAACAAGTCTGAACAATTGTCCGCTATTACCTATTGCCGCTGCCTTTTCCATCTCTCTTGCTTTCGCTGCCCACCACTGTTCACGATCATTGCGTAGGCTTCTTGTCAGCTTGCGCTTAAGCTGACTCCGCTCTTCACTATGTTCAGAGCCAGGTGGAATGAGTTTCCGAGCATCTATCAGTGCGATAGATGCTGCTGAGATCCAGTGTTGCTCCCTAACCTTACGGGTTACCGTACTAGCAGAAATCACTGCTGTTTCCACAGTTTTTCGGTTATCATTCCATGCTGCCTCGGGGTGGGCATCACATACATGGCTGACTAACTGTTTTCCTAGTTGTTCCTGAAATATACTCTTAGCTTGACTATCATTAAGTAGGCCCCTAAGATGTTTCCTTGCAGCGTCTTTCCTACGTCCAGTAAGACGCAGACAGATACGCGCTCGTGGTAGAGCATGTGCTCCATAATGAGCGACAGTCTTCTATTGAGTCCCTCCATCGGTGGCTGATAGCGATGTGATCTATTTGGGTCCAATTTTGGGACGAATTAGGGGGTCGCCATGTTAAAAGATATTTTTCCTTATGCTTAAAGTTAGTATTTACAAGGAACAGGCGGTTATCTGAGCATAGCTGCAACAGACGGTCGCCATTATCTGTTCTTTGAGCCACGACACCATAAGATCCACCCAGGTGTCTTTCCCTTTCGCTTAATTTACCTACTTGAGGATTAGTCACTGGCCACTTCGCCCTCAGACCTTGAGTTGCTGCTTTTAGTCTTACCGTTTTCCAATCGACCTGCCTGGCATGGTAGAACCTACAGGAACATATGTTCCAGCCAATATAGATCGGTTGGGTCATCACGATAGATAAGCCCGACCACGGCGTCAAGGTAGCAGCTTCGGTCGGGGGGGACCTGGATAATCAATAATTGAAGCTAATATGGTGGAAGTGTATCCAATTTCGGCACATTAATCAAGGTTTGAATCAACTATGTAGTTGTGAGTGCTGACTCGTTATATTTCTGAACTCCTGTCCTAACTGAGTCAGCTGAATTTTACAAGTCCATACCTTTCGACTTCCTGCCAATATCGCATTTACGTTTCAGTCTCCTAACTTGAGTTTTCCAGTGAAGCGTCTGGCTTTCATGTTAGTGAACAATATATCCTAACCAAAAATTTAATTTCCATGCTTCAAGGAAACCTTGGATTTAGTCACACAAACCCCTGTGTATGAGTTATCGTACTTGATGTTACCGATAAACGCGATTCATTGTAAGTTGATTGCATATTTCAAATAGTGTTCTATAAAAGCCTAATGTTCATGATTTCAGAAAATCCTAATGTTGGTAACCTTTAATATCTATTTTTCTCAACTACTCGTTGAGATTTGGTAGCATATCTTCAAAATCAACTTACTAGTATTAAACGGTTATTCAACAATTTGAAAAGTATCATTTTCACCAAACCACTTGCAAAAATATTCATTCTCTCGTATTGATATCTGCTATTCAAAACTGAATTTAACTACATAGATAGTAATGATAATTTTCTCTTGTGTTTTCTTCCTTTCATTCATCCATTTAAAGTACATTTCGAGCATTCAATATATATTATGACATGTGTTGGTGATACCATCTATGTAGTAAAACGTCTACCCGATAATCAGAATATTTCATACGCAGAGACATATCAACAATTACATCTTGTCAAATCGGATAATAGTATGACTAGTAATAACAATCCTATTGATATACATCATTCTGCTACTGTTATTAATAATACTAACAATATAGTTACAATAGATAATCACGGACCTCATTTTTTTGAAGCACGTGCTCCTGATGATTATTGAAAACGAATATAGTACCATATTCCCTTTACTTAATAATCCTTCCCCTTTTACTTCTCTTTATCGTAATAATAAATATAATGTAATGATTGCCATTAATACATGTAGCAAAATAATTATCTATTGTGTAAATAATGTTGCTTCTTTTGTATCTGCTTATTTTTTCACTGTGAAATTTAAGAATATACTAGTCTTTTGATAATCAGCCTTTTTTTTGATTCATCATATTCGACAAGATTAAAACTGTGATATATTGTAACATTTTAAAGTTCAGGACATTCATTTCATTCTATTCGAATCTCGTAAAGTAGTGTGTTTAGTCATAAATATATTTTTTAATTCACTTGCTATTGTTTTATTTGAATCTTCCCATTGATGTTTAAGACTGCAATTGATCAGTCTGTTATTGGCGTATGTGTATACTGTGCCTCGATATTGCCTTAATTTATAAACATTATAAGCAAATATAGATAGTGGCTAGCAGTGTAATCCAGGACGCGCGTTTCGCCCTATTTGGGACTCGTCGGCTGGATGTACCTGCATCTGAGAGTTGATGTTCACTCTAGGACTCGAACCCAGTGCCGCTCGCTTCAAACGCAAGTAGCTATCAGGACTCAGTAGCTAAGTGGATAACGCGATGGCGTAATGTAATTACCCATCATATCTAAGGTTCTCCTCGAATGTGTACTTAATAAGCGGATCACATCGTTTAATAACAACAAGATTAACTGAATACTCAGTGATTTACTTATTGGTAGTATTAAGATGTAATTACACTGTGTCGCTAAAAATATTCCATCAGTAATGTTGTCCCACACATTGTTTCGACAAAGGGTTTGGGTTTTTCCAGTCATGACGCACAAACGGCGATCTTACTACTGTTGATGACTTATAACCAATGAAGATAATGTAGGCCTCAGATTAGTACAATTTCTCTGAAATCAAACATTTCCTATTACTAAAACGAATTACAAAAGAACATCAATCAAATAGTGTAGATTAAAAATACTTTGAAGCAGACTATCAGAAAACTGGATGTTATTCATGTAGTGAACGAATAAGCATAGCATTTAGTGAAAAAAAACTTGTAGGAAAGTAACTAAAATGAAATTCTCATCTTTTATGAACTACTTATTGGAAAACTAAAACATTCGCGTTATTAACTTCTATTCTAAGTAATATCTGATAAGGTCTCAATGTTTTGAGTTGCATGGTCAATAAGAGCTCATCCAGTGATATGTTGTGGACCAAAAGAACTTAGTATCAAACCAATATCTTTCGCTTTTTAATATATATATATATATAATGCTTACTTCCAAAATCAATAAATAATTCATTGTACGCAAGTATCAGGGTTAGCGTCCTTTAAACGTATTCAAGACATCAAATTCCATGTATGAAGATGGTTAACATCATTGAAAGACTGACATTTTCATGGTGTTTTACTACCAGAATATGAAAGTTAATCCTTATCACGAATTGAAATCATTTCGGTAACAACCAGTTATGATTTATGATGAAAGTAATCTTCCTTCAGAATTTATTTTTGTTGGCTATTAATTTTTTCAGCGCAACCATCTAGTTTGAGAATCTACTTTTTAATGTTTTGTCATTTGAATTAAACGTTCGTCGTTGCTGATACTCATGGGTACATTTCACTAGTGACATTTTTTAAATTTATATTTAAACTACTTATAAGTAATGTACTTGGATATGAAATATTTTACTAAATTATTCCAATGATAAATTCACTTGTTGTTTTACTTGTATCTTACCATTGTTATTTAAGACCGCAGTTGATCAATTTCATGTTGGCATATGTGCATCCTGTACGGATTACCTCGATATAACCTTAATTCACAAGCATTTTAAGCAAAGATGTATAGTGGCTAGCAGCGCTCTGGATTCCACTGCTAGCCACTATCCATCTTGGATTATTCCAACGATAGTAAATAACAGGCACATAGATGTACATATAAAGTTATTTCCCATATCATGAAATAGTGTATTGAATGTTTATTTAAATGTTTATGATAACAATTCCAGTATTTTTTTAGAGGAGCTGCACCAAAATAGTGAACTAGAACTTTGGTAGATTTAAGGTATATTAAAGAATATCTTGTAAAATCGATTACACATTCCAATCATAACTCCAAATCCAAACTCCACTTAACATCGTTGTTCCCATTGATTCAGAATATGTTATGATAGATAATCCGTTGATATAGACGACTAGTAATTCCTGTAGAGCTTTTAATGTCGATCGCTGCAGTTATATGTTTATAGAGTTCTCAATTAGTCAATACAACCGTGGTCGTTTAAACCGACTGCGTTTTTCATGTATCTCAAACTAAGCACTGTATTATCTGGGGACAGGATGCTTCAAGTTAAACATTTAGACCTTTAGACGTGATGTCAAAACAAAAATGACGTAGAGATGGATTTTTAGTATAAGTGGACATGAGTAAAGCGCTGTCCTGTTTGATATCTTTAAAACGTGGTAAATTGACTACAACTATCATGTGACTGTCTCACGTAAAAATGGTCTCAGACTTTAGATCGTTGCTTTACTGACAGCATTTTCTGACGTAATTTCGAAGATTTTAATTCGACCATGGTACGGCAGAGAGTGGGAAGAGCCAGTTCTCCCTCTGCAAATGCTCTCACATGGACACGTATATACAGCCACTGCCAAGAAAGTCCTACTCACTACCTTCTCGCGGCATTGCTGTTGTTTACCGAATTGAGAGGATGAAAAGCGAATGGCCGGCGCTTTAACCGGGTTGGTTGATATGGAGGATCCACCTAGGGGAGTTGAAATACACTGATTGCAAACTAATGAGCTCCAGTAACTTGAGGGAACGAATGGCATATGAACCAAGCGTTGTTCATTGGCTACCATGGGACTGCATCTCCTTACATTGTCCTACTGCCTTGTGGATTGGACCTTCAGGTCGAAGGCTTCGTGTGCAGCCCCCTAAGAAAACCACTTGTTTCGGTTTGAGCACCCAGGCAGTATCATAGCCCACACACAAATGAAGTGACTTATGTGGCGCTTATGTATTCGTACCCCTTTGTATCAATTTTTCTGTGTTCAAATGAATAAATATAGCACACTCAGTTCCGATTACACTATGTTTTATTTAAACACTATCCGACTGTTTTCCGTTCAATAAAATCAGAGATCTTTAGATATATGTTTTCTAGTTATTCTTTTAATGTTTCTCTTGTGAAATTCACATGTTAAAATACCTAGAATTTATTTTCAAGTAGATTTACTACTTAAATTACAGTACATAGTAGTTAAAATACTGTAATGAAATAAAATTTTACAGCTGGTTTTAATGGGCTACTTGGATTTGCGTTCGAATTTAAGATTACTAGGACTGCTGACAATACATCTGATGTAAATTAAACTGTATAGGTATAAGTACATGGAGATTGTATATGACATTAAAAATTTTCACAATCTTCGTGTTCACTCAAATGGAATTATCCGTTAACTTAAGTCATGTCATACTTCCGTAAATCATTTGCGAAATGTTGAAAACACTATGATTTACTTATTACTCACCGTTTTTTTCAAACGCAATCGCGTTATCCACTTAGCTACTGGGTCCTGATAGTCACTTACTTATATAATGAGGTGAACGGTACTTGGTTCGAGTCCCAGTTTAAATATAACCTTTAAGATGGAAGCACAAATTCAGCTGACGAGTCCCAAACAGGAAGAAATGCTCGCCCTAGATTCTACTACTAGCCATTATTTATCTTTATATTAATCAAAAGTTATATAATCCAAAGATATTGATATTTCAAGCAGAAAGTCTCATAAATATATAATAACCTGCCTAAAATATTACTTAGTATTTTCTAATGTTTTTGACTGGTAATATCACTCCATCATTATCTACCTTGTTTTGTTCTGTAAATGAGTTTTAAATGTATCACTTAATTAGATAAATAGAAGATGAGCAGTTAGTTATGGAACTTTGAAGCTTTATTAATCTTAATAAATTTACTTTTATTTTAAATATAAGTTTATGTTATCAACTTTGTGTTTCATTATTTGTATAAGAAATATAGTTATTAATTAGTTACTCAAACTGAAGCTGTTGAATCACTAATCTACTTACTATCTTATATTCACTCTTAGAGATAAATAGTATTATTCTATGTTGTACTTTACGGCTGCGAAACATGGTTATTAAGAGTAAGCTACTAGTAATTGATCACAGATGTCTTAGAAATATTGCTGGCATCTGCTGGGGTCATCGGGTAAGTAATAATTAGGTTAGACGCATGGTATTAGGGAATGATGGTAAACCAGTTGATAAGGTTGTGAATCTTCATCGACTGAGATGGTTGGGCCACGTGTTGTCTGAACACCTATTACCCACGACGTGCAATGCTAACCAGTGTTGGGGATGGTTTGAAGAAAGTTAGGGGCGCCCAAACCAAAGCTTGGCATCAGTGCTTGAAGGCACTAACTTATAGCGTGAGTCATGTTGGTAGATGCAGACTACTTGGTTGGGGTCCGCGTGACTATCGTAACCAATGGTTGGAGACTCTTGGTGACATGGCTCAGAATCGATCACGGTGGCGTCGGTGTATACACTCTCTGTCTTCCCTTAAACTAAGAGATTAAAATCGCTTCATATCTTTCTTTCTACGTACTAAATCTTTCTTCCTGTACTATATCCCTATATACAATCTTCCTTTTATATATTACCACCATTGACTTAACTACTTCTATGAATCCGGTGTTCATGTTGTAATGTATTTAATTAACTAGATTTAAATAAATATCCTTAGTTTAATCTCTTTTTTCCGGCTATTTTGAAGTTACCAGATTCACTCTTTCTCTTATTCCCAACTCGTATACAAGCACTATTCTCAACATCATGTACGATAGCATGGCGAATGTATGCTGCCTGTTTTTTTTCAACATCAAACTTGTACTTCACGGTTATGTATTTCTTGATAGTAGCGAGTGAAATACACTTACAACCCTTAACCGCCAAAATAGCCGCTGTTATCATATTGATTACTTTCGGATTACTGGCCGGTGCTTTAGGCTTCTTTACTGGGAGAGTCACTGAAGTACTCATAACTTAACTTTCATTTTAAATTGTCACTTAGAAACGAGAACAAATTCAAAGTATATTACATTCATTATAAACTAACTTTAATTCTTCCAATTAAATAAACAATCATCAGTTTGTTTAAGCCAAAATTCAATGTTTCTTAAATACATTGTTTTAGAAAATAAGGAGCGGGGGGGGGTTAAGGAGAAAACTCCTAAAGCTTCAGTTTTATGTTTTTATCATTCCCATAACTTGT